CGTGCAGCAGCAGCAGCAGCAGCAGGAGTTCCTGCTGCTGCTACTGCTGCTGCTGCTGTCGCTCTCCGCGTCAGTGCGGCCGAGTCGCCTGCTGCAGCTGCAGCGAGCAGGGCCCGAGAAGCTCTGTTGTATACCTGACAGCTGGAGGCCCTTGATGTTCCACCTGGTGCTGCTGTTGATGCTGCTGCTGACGTTGCTGCCGCTGCTGCTGTTTATGCTGCTGCACCTTATCGTGTGCGACGCCAACTGGGCGAAGCGGCTCGTTGCTGCTCTCGCTGCTGTTGCCACTGTTGCTGCTGCTGCAGCTCTCGCTGCTGCTGCTGCAGCTTCCGTGGTTCTGTAGTGCAGCGGATGCACCTCTACCGGAGACACTTCAACGTAGCAGTCCTGCTGCTGCTGCTCTAGCTCCGGCTCCTGCTGCTGGTGCTGCTGAGCCAGCTGCTCATATTTGCTGGAAATCGAGACTCTGTGGTTTCCTAGCTGCCGCTGCTGCAGCTGCAGGCGCTGCTGTTGCTTCTCCAGGTTGTGCTGATACTGCTGCTGCTGCTGCGAAACATGCAGGAGAGAGACATCCTTGCTGCAGCTCTGCAGCCTCTCGCTGTGGTGTCGTTTTGGCTGCTGCTGCTGCTGCTGCTGCTCTGTTTCTTGCTGCCGTGCACGCTGCTGCTCCGGCCGCTCTTGGCAGGGCTGCTGCAGCAGCAGCTGCTGCTCCCTATGCTTGTGTTCGAACGCGTAGGGCTGGCCGCTGTGCTGCTCGTGCTTCGTGCCTTGTTGCTGCAGGCACTGCCGTTGCTGCTGCTGCTGCTGCTGCTGCAGTTCCATCCAGCTGCTGTCGCTTGAGGTCCAACCCGGGGCGGAAGGCACCGCCTCAACCCAAGGGCTGCTGAATGTGCTGCAGCTGCAGCTGCTGCTGCTGGTGCTCTCGCTGCCTTCACTCACGGCAGCTGCAGCAGCAGCCTCGCGCCGTTCCCCGTCATCAGCAGCAGCAGCAGCAGCAGCAGCAGCAGCTGCAGCAGCAGCTGCCAGCACCTCCTGCTCCTGGCTCGGCGGCACTGCCAGCGCCCAAGACAGTTCCTCTCTCCCTTCGGGCCCC